CCTTTTGTGAGCTTTTTTAAATATTGATAACAATGGATTATCATTTCTTTGCTTGAATTTGGCTGACTCAGATTTTTTTTTTATTTCAAACCAATCTGAGCAGTGTTAACTTCTGCGTAACTCAGGGTACCTATAACTTACATCGCTGGCGGATGAATACATACCTATCCGCACATTCTGCGTAACCAGAAAGTTTTCCATTCTTTATTAAAGGATTTTCTGTAGGGACAATCACCACAGGGAAAAAACACTCCGCTGTCATTACGCCTAAATAACATGTACCTAGCAGTTGTTATTCAATTGAAAATTTTGTTTTTGTTTTAACACTGAAAATTTGTCGTTTAAATGTATAAATTAGTTTTACCTAATAGCACTCGCCAGAGAACAAGTTTTCCATACATCTTGTCACAGTAGTATCTAAATGCCCTCGAATTTTCTTAAGTCTCGTTGCGATACTTTTGCTTCGTCTTATATTGAAAAACATACACTACAACATATCTTATCAATTCTCAGTTAGGTCAAATAGTGCTCAAGCAATGAATAATGACGCATTTTGTTTTTGACTTATCTTTAAGTTTGGAAAATTGTTTTAGAAAACAAAGGTTTTTGTCTTTTGCGTGACAGAGAAATTTCAAGTTTAAGATTCATCGCATAATATGAACAATAAACTCAGTCCGTTTTAAGTACCTTTTACCTTAGGTGACAAAAAAATCATTCAAACAAGACTTCTTCTTTATTTCTCTGGCTATGGATATAATACATTTACACTTAACGCATTCCAAAATCAAAACAGAAAATCTTTTTTTTTCTGTTTTTAGCATTTTGCCTTCAGGTGTTGACAAAATCTAACAAAAAGAAAAGCTTTGTAAGATATTTATTGGTTAGTTTGTGAAAAATTACTATTTTCTCAATAAAAAGACAATCTTAGGTCACAAGACGAAATGAAATGTATATTATTTAGAGGAACTACTGAAACATTCCATATTCAAAGCAAAAGGAAACTTTCATCTTGATGATAGCAAGAATTTCCCCCCAAATAATATCTGTTTTAGTTCTTTCACTTGTCGTCGTTTGCTCTAGTGTCGCGGCGTAAGGAGTTGATCCTCACGTCGCGGGTTTGAATGCACCGTGCAGCGTGGTGAACAGTCCTTCTGATGAGACCGTATAAACCGAGGTCCCGTGTCGCAGTAGGTGCTGGCACGAAAAAGATCCCTCACCGCTAAAGGCCGTAAGTGCAGGTATAAATTTGCAGCCCTCCATCGCCAAGTATTGGCGTCTCTCAATATGAGTGAAAAATCCTCGAAGGGACATAAAACAACCACCCAACCAACCAAATAAACAAAAAGGTCTTCCACTTGACTAATTGTTAGGGCATTATTTACACATTGATTGTTTTCCCGGTCACAATCTTTCAGAGGAAGGGTTTACTTTAGGATTTTCCCCACAGGTTAAATTAATTAAAAAAAAAAAAATGGCACACCCTAAATGAGATAAAGGACAAAGTGTGTTTGGTTCATAATCCGCACAATACCACAATCGAAATTTTGTGCATATAAAATGCCCTCAAATAGATGTTTCATTAGTGAAAATTTCGAAGTGGTGATAATCTGTGGACCTATCGAAAAATGCTTGCGAGTCGTTGATTTTTAACGATTATTTCGTAAATACGCATTTAGTAGATGCTTTCACAACGAAAAAATAGTATATAGTGAACACATTTTGAAAGTTTTGGTTTATTTTTTAAACAAGCCTATATATATATATATATATATATATATATATATATATATATATATATATATATATATATATATATATATATATATATATTAGATGGATAGCTAGAAAAATTAATATTTAAATCCCTTTACACTACGTAACTTTCTCAAATTATCTTCATTAGTTTGTAAAGAGTCTTACAGTGCCTGGTACCGGTAAAGATCAGAGAATTTTTAAATTAATTTGGGGGAATGAAATACAATCTGTGGTCACAAAGTACAAAAAAAAAAAAAACAAACAAAATCGTGACAAGAGTAAAAGTCAAATTTTCGGCCATTAAATAAGAATACGTGGAGAAGAATAATATTAGTAAATATATTTTGTATATAAAGTAAATCTGGAACTGGTTAGAAATTTGATCTGGTATCCATTGCAACCTCTACGTACCGGAACACAAATTTTTTTTGTTGGGTTGTAGGGGGTTGGGAGAATAAGAAAACCTTTAATTCAGAATAGGGATGAACAATCATAATTACAAAGCATAATAATAATAATAAACAAGATAGTTACAAAACGGACAAAATTAAATTATCAACACATTTTGCAATTTACAATAAAGTAAATGATTAATTTTCCTGACATTGTAAATGTAAAAAGGAAACAAGAATACAACATTTTATTACATTTTCTATAATCTCACGTCTTCACTTCTACATATCAAAAGACAGGATGACCAGGGTTGGCCGGGAAATACCAGGGATGGAATTACCAGTGGTAAATACCGGTATTTCCCGTCCCGGGAAATACTACAGATTTTCTCTAAATTGGGAAATATTGGGAAATACTGGGAAATACGAAGTTAATATTTTTTTATTTCTTTAATTCATTCAATCTTATACAAAATTCAAAAATAAATTTAAAATAAATATAAAACAGTTTTGTAAAATTATTATTATATAAGTTTATTAATTATAAATCAAAGAACAAAGCAAACTTGTTTTAATCCTTCTATAAACATTATAGTTATTACAAACAATCATGTTGTTTTAACAAATTGTTCTGGACAGTTTTGTGCTTCTGTTTTGAGATATAATTACCTTGAGTAGAACTGAAAGGCTTCTTCTTAGGTTTGTTATTTAAACTACACTTTACATTTAAGAATTTTCTTATATCCTTCTTTAGTTGCATAAAAAACCCTTTTGGGATCTTTGGGTTCATTTCATGGACCTTTGTAGACTACATCAGACTTAAGCATGAAACACATGACACTCATGACTGGAATATGAATATACTGTGTTATGATTGTATAAAATGAACTACTTGGAAACCAGACTTTTTTAAATCAGGGACAGTGATACCAGAGGTAGATATTTAGCGAATAACGTGTACTACACGTCAATTTGAATGAAATATATACCTAATTTCTTATTTCCCAGTATTTCCCGGGAAATACCAGTAATTCTCGGTAATTACAAGTATTTCCCACTGTCCTGGGAAATACGAGTATTTCCCAGTTTTTTGCCAACTCTGAGGATGGCAGTATAAATACAGGTTAATAACAAATTCAGTTAATTTACACCGTTGAGGTTTGATAAAATCGTTTCATGGGTTTTAAACTATAATACAGCAATTTTTTTCTATAAATCAGTTAAAAATGTAACAAGTAAAAAAAAAGCATGAAATATCTATCGGAATATAAATACGGGTTGGTACATGATCATATTTACCAAAAAGCTCCTCATATAGAATGTGAGCGAGAGATGTTTAAATATGATTCCTCATTTCTTCAATAATATGAGGTCAAACCATTTTTAATTTGTGGACACAGATTTGAAATTTTATAAATAAATTTTCAACATGAAAATCTTATTGTGTCAAAGCTATCTAATACAATGATAGAAGGTAAACAACATATAAGTTAATATAAGCAAACATTATTAAATCAAATGACATGAAAATCAGACACAACTAGATGTTAAGACAATGCGTACAAGGTTATAGCAAACCAGTGTCATGATCTAAATTTCTAATTTACCAGTTTGGAGTAAATACCAAATTTAGAACAGGACAAATTTTACATTAATCCCTCCTGGTATATTAAGAATTTAGAAGATGACAAGAATGTGGTGAATTCATTCTTCATATTTATTAAACACAGTTTTACAGAACAAATAACAAATTCATGTGGCGAAATACTGTCTGACAAAATGGAGCAAGTGTTGTGCCCGGCAATACAACCCATTTTCTGTCATTAAACTAACCTCTAATTTATTGTTTGCTGCGAGGGTGTGGAACAATCATTTATAGAAATCTGAATGATGTACTCTAGAAATTAATTATATATATTAAACAAAAATTTAGGACTTTTACTTTGAAGGATAAACAATATCAAGATCGATTATCTAGAAAATGAAGGTAAAACAGCAAATAAATTCCCTGAAAATATGCATTGTAAAAGGCATACATAAATATACACGCAAGTTAAACAATATAGGAATTACGGAGTGTTCTGAATTCACCTTCGAAAAGACATAAAGATTTAATACATATTAAAGGCAAAATACAGGGAGTTTTTTGTGTTATAACCCTTTCTTCTGCTTTTTTTTGTTTGGCATTTTGAAACACATTTCTTTGTTTTAATATCTCTATAACTTAGCATTATACATGTAACATCTATGTTAAAGGCGTATTAAGGCCTTTTTGCTTCGCGTTATGCTTTTTTCTGCGTTATAAAGCCTTTTCACTTTGTATTATCTGAATTTGAATTTTGATTCTTTAAGGGTTTTTTTGGTTTAAAACTACGCAAATATTAGTTACAAATCAGTCACAAATATAAATATAAGTAAAATATAGATTTAAACATTCCTCTAGTACTTATGATTTTTAGAAACGGGTTGGTATATAATAAAATCTACTACAAAGATCCATTTTCATGTGACCAACTTATTTCTTTAGGCATATGTTGATTGAATGTCATAATTGTATTGAAATTGTCCCAACAGCGTTTGTGTCAGCTGTGCTTGTTTGATTATGTTGACGTTATACATAATTTTTTATTGAAAATAATCAAAGAGAGAGAGAGAGAGAAAGAGAGAGAGAAGCAGTGAAAATAAAAAAGAGAGAAAGAGAAGTGCAAATATCAGTTTTTCCCCGAGTTACCAAACATCGATTCGCTTAATATATTATACAGTTTCATTTTTTTTCTTAGCAACTGTGAATATGTTGTTTATTACGGTCGTGTCTTTGGTCGGTTTTACGGTAATATTCGGGTTCTCGTTTACTTTGATTTTTCTTTTACGACATTTGTGACGTTGATAATTGAAAAGTTCAACCATCAGTTGCACCAATTCGAGAAAACTCAGAACAGAAGCACCCAAGAAAAGTCCCATAGCTCCACCTAAATCCGACAAAAATCGAAAACCCTGGAATTAGAACATTAAGAAAATTTATAATAATCATAAATAACAATATTATCTTGTTTAAGAATTGAGATCAATGAAATATAACCATTTCATTTTTATGGTTAAAAAATACTTTGATTTACTCTTATTTGATTTATTACAATTATAATAAAATTATTTTGATTTACTATTTTATTAAAAACTTCAATTCCCAATAGCAAAACTTTGATACTTTGATTAACTACAGTAAACTCAAAGTTACTATAAGAAACAATAATTTAATATTGTTCATCGTGTATATTTTCGTTAGCGATCATGACTCACGTTCAATACACAACCTCTTCAACTGATATAAAAGAACAACTTACATCATAAGACGGTTCCTCTGAAATTTCCTCGTAGTTCATATCTTCATAATAAATTACCAGTTTTAAGAAGTTGTCTTTAAAACTGTAATGAAAACCCATTCAAATTCATATGTGGCCTTAAATAAACTGTATCTTTCTACCACTAGATGTTGTGATTGAATGTTGTGATTGAATGCCTTATGTCTTAGAAATATTCTCAATACTATAAAAATCTTGTTTATCATCATATAATACCGTATAAGTGGAATTTTAGCGAGACGCAAATTTTGCGATTTATCCTTAAAAATCAATATTAAATTTTATCGAGAATTAATTTAAGCGATTTTATGGTGCAAAGAGATAACGTAACCTCTTATGCTGAATATATTGTTAGCGATATTTAATTTTAGCGATCCCAACACCCTCGCTAAAAATGCCAAAATTGAATCCTAGCTAAAATTTTTGCTTATACGGTATTACCTTGCATACAATTGAATTCAATCAAGTGGTATATAATTTTCTGGGTGAAAAGTTTCATACTTGTCAATGAACAATTCCTCCAACAATAGGTAACTCCAAGTACTTTAGAAGAAAATGATTTACATCGCTCTTCCATCGGAAAATTTTACCCCTGTTTGAAATCGATTGTAGGTAAATGAGAGAGAGAGAGAGAGAGAGAGAGAGAGAGAGAGAGAGAGAGAGAGACTTACAACGCAGAATTTTCTTCCCCCAAATACATGTCGCAGTAAGAGTAATTGGATTGTTCACATTGTGTGTTCAACAATTCCTTTTCCTGTAATTTTTTTTCAATAATAAATAATACAATACAATTATTATTAATTATTGAGTATACTTCATACGGCAAATGCATGCAAATACATGCCGTTGGGTATTATAAATATTTTATAATATATTTTTATGTAATAAATTAAAACGTCCGTCTCACGGTACTGTCATCCCTATTTTGCATTATATCCCGAAACACATGACTTGTCCTATAAATTTTCTGATAGAACAAAACCTCGAGTGAAATTACACACATTTTCCTCTTTTTTCATTGATTTCGTGGTATTAAAAGAATCACAAATTCATGTCTTCCACGAAATTTCAAGAATTCAATTCTCACCCTCATGCTTCCCTTACAATTAATAAAACAAATAAAATCACCATGAACCAATATTTTCCTCAAACAATTAAATTTTAACCCCATGAGAACAAATAATTTAAAATTAGTGTATTGACAAGCAGCAAATTCAGAGTCTACGAGGATTTAACGTTACGAAAAAGGCCACCTTTTTCTAGTTCGGAATAGGATTCTTCACTATCCGTTGCACAGTTGTTGTCAGTAATGTAAAGATAAAGCATTCTACCTCTTACGTTTAACAGCGAAGACCGATTTTCATACTTTATTCCCTTAAGAGACACAGAGATTAATTCAATGAATTTAATGAATTGAATACTACTTTGCATATGAAACGAAGAACTAAACAAAACCAATAACAAACCTTGTTTGTAAGGACTTTATTAGGTTTAGGAATCCAATATATGGTAATTCAAATTCATTTTGATTGTTGGGAATATTAAAAATATTTAAAACTGACATATGATTTTCAAGAACGTCTTCCTCAGAAATGAGTATGATTGGATTTAAATTCAAGTTCCTCTACGATACAATTAAAATAATGAGCCTTACTAAGAGAATGTTGTTACCTGCTTCGTCAGCTGGGACCAGTAAATATTGATCGTGTTATCTATCTAATTCTTTTTCCCCTTCTGAATTATTGAAAAAAAAAAAAAAAGAATGATAGATGGTTTTCATATTGCAACTCAGCCGGTTAATGCGAAATTTCAACATCCATCTGATACTTTTAATCCATTCTGATAAAGTGTCAAGATCTTCTTTTTCATGTTTGGCCCATCGTCTGGCTTAATCTTCCACAGAACTTATAATATTTACGAAATTATGATACCAGCTGAAAGATTTGGGTTTCCCAAATTCTGGCCCTTTTAAAATAAGCGATTTAAGGTCCTCATTATTAACAATATTTACGTAACCAGTAATGACGTGTCCAGCAGGACTATATAGTTGTAGGTTAAAGAAGAACATGAACACGTAGAAAGATTATGTTTCAGATGTTCGATATCTAGGCACAATGGAATTTTGTTGTTATTTAGAAGTTTAGAAGCAATAGTCGATGGATATTTGTAAGAAATACAAGATGTGGACGTGTTCGTGATTAAGAATATTACTAATATCTACTGCGTCAATTCCTTTGTTTAACAGGAAGTAAAACAGACTGTGACTGATCACGTGTTGTTGTTTTTTTTTCTACCAATGCCGCAGTAAACAATCATGCATTCAACGTGTTCGATGCAATTAGTCAATACTCTTGGTGGGATTTGGGGTTTATGTCTTTTATATGCAAAGTAGTATTCATTTTTGATACCAGACAGCCAACCAATGAGTTATATGGTAATCAACGTGTGAAAGTTAAACACACTTGATCAAGCAAACTGACACGCTGTTATTGGAATGATAATAGTTTATGATGTGAGCTTTATCCATTTTAATATTGACACACTCCTGCTTTTGGAATTATTTAAAACCTTTCTTTTCCAGTGGTAGGCAATACTAGAGAACTGAAGAATTATACATCCAAGCACTTTACAGAAAATGAAATGTATTGCATTCTTACCAGAAAGGATTCTTTTGGCCATACTCGACCGGAAATAGTAGACCGATAGAGTGTTTGGCTGCAAATTAAAAAACAAAAAACAAACATATGCATTTAAATACTAATATATTTAGGAGATGAGGCGTACACATTTAAGATATATAATGTTAGGTTCTGATAAAAGAAATTTATCTATGGGTGCTTTGTGTCCTAATGCAAACCTAGCTAGCTTAATCAAGGGTTATTTACCTGCAGGGAGTTGCGCATTCACAGTCAATATAGTGTTCATCAATACGGAAATAAATGAATTCTTCACACTGCTTGGCATTACTATATGTACCCTTTTCATTTTTGCTGTTTCTTGTACCATTAGTAGCTACTGTCATATCTATTCAAAAAAAGGTTTAGAAGGACTTTGAGGAGTTAAAAAACATATTTGCTATTAAGATATCATTTATTACCGCTATGAATATTAGGAGAGTTATATACTTCTTTTTGTTCTAGCTTGTTCTTTTTTGTTCTAGCTTGTTCTTATTTGTTCCAGCTTACATCACAAGCCTTAACTATCATTCATCAGGAAGATTCTCAAAGCAGAGCTTATACTATATCATTTAAGTTTAGAATTTACAAAATTTTTAAAACTCCAAGATTAATACAAAATGAAAGGTTACTTTACATTGAGTACATATGTATAGCAGGTTTAAAATTTGGCGTTTTGCTTGCTCAAAAATATGACAAGTTTCACAACTTTGGAAACCAGTAAAAATATCTCAAGTACCTTAAATATATACAGAAAACAAGAAATTAATTTATATCAAAATAAGTCAAAGTTTGATTTTCCGTCGTAGTGGGTTTGTAGAGTGGAATCATATACAGGTAAGTTTATCGAATGAATTTTCATCTGAATACCGATTAACGCAAGAGTTCATGAAAAACCAAAAGAAAAGTATAACTCTCTGATCAAAGTTATCTTTCTTGAATAGCGTTAGTTTATTAGCACAAGGTTGCATATTTTTTAACGGTCAACTACATGTTTCAAACAGCTAAAATAGGCCAACGTCAGTTCCTGCTAAAAATCCCGCTGTAGGTAATTGATCTTAGAAAATCATATTGATCTGACATAACTTAGAGATTTTGCAACTCATTTTGAAACCAAAGATCAAATTTTGGAACATACATTTACAACCATTTGTATAAATTTAAAAAAACGTCCAAGGAGAAGATATCTAGAGACGAGAGACGTTTCAAAGTGACCATAAGCCTCGACTCCGGTTTGAGAGTCGAGATTATAAATCTTAGAAATAAAAAATGAAAACTTGATCTGTAACTCATCAAGATACACTCACATACCAAAAATCAGCTCAATATCTCCAAGCGTTTAGAAGAAAAGTGCGGAAAACCAAGTGGGACAGACTGACAGACAGACAGACGGACGGACAGACTCAGAGGAAACCTATAGTCCCCTCCGGTTTCACCGGTAGGGGACTAATAATGAAAGGACTTCTTTTTCCTTAAACCTTTTCACGAGAGGAAGCATTATTTCAATGAAAGGAGAAGAAAAAAAAATCAAAAATCGGAAACAAGGAAAGGGAGACGATGTTATTAGTCCCCTACCGGTGAAACCGGAGGGGACTATAGGTTTCCTCTGAGTCTGTCCCTCTGTCTGTCTGTCAGTCTGTCCCACTTGGTTTTCCGCACTTTTTTCCTAAACGCTTGCAGATATTGAGCTGATTTTTAATGTGAGTGTATCTTGATAAGTTACAGATCAAGTTTGCATTTCGTTTCGCTTCATTGATTTTTAACGGAATTACGGCCTTTTCAATTTTACGGGTTTTCCGCAATTTTCTTCTAAACGCTTTCATATATTGAGCTGATTTTTGGTATATGAATTAACCTTGATTAGTTATAGATCAAGATTGCATTTCGTCCCGCTTCATTGATTTTTGACGGAATTATGGCATTTTCAATTCTTAAAGGGGAACCAGATTATACTTGCCGGTAGGGGACTAGTATTGCTAATGCAATACTCTCAGAATGCTTGTTTACGTCTTCTTTTACATAACATTGATACAAACTAATCATATTATTATTATTATAATACTTAATTTTTACAATACATACTAGATGAACAAATAGGGGTAGTGTTAAATTTCTCCATGAATTTGATGTCCATATGTTTGGATGGTCGACATTTACAGATTTCAACAACTTTCTTATTTCTGCAGATTTGTAGACACGCCTACAAAAAAAAATTTGGTGTCCTACTTTGTTATAAAATCTTGAGATATGAAAGCATGCTCTCAAAAAAGCTGATTTAAAAAAATATACAAAAATATTACTACAAGTTTGCATATTACCAATTGTGTAAAGCTGAATTGATTATACCAATCGGTGTTAATAAATACCCTCGATCTATGACCGACCTTTTGAAAATTGATCGGTTCAGGTAGAGAGTCTAATCAAAGAAGCACAAAGCATGGCCGTAGGAACCGGGGGAGGGGCAAGGGGGGCCGTGCCCCCCCCCCCCCCCAATAATTTTGCCGATATATACATTACTATAGAAAAAATAGATACTATATGCCTGTGCCCCCTCAATAAAACGTGTGATGACCTTTTTTGTTTTTGTTTTTGTTTTTTTTTTTTTGCTTGTCTAGAAATTTTTGGTAGTAGATAGTGCCCCCTCAACTGAAAATGTATGGCTGTGCCCCCCCCCCCCCCTCCCAACTGAAATTGCTTCCTACGGGCCTGCAAAGCACAAAATGCATTTAGTTTTACATAGATTTTAATTTGTACTATTTATATATAAGAAACATTACCTCTGTAGTCACTGATATTGCAAGTTTACATTAATTACTGTCTTTTTTGGTTGGGGTGAAGTGTCCATGAACCGTGTCTATACTTGGCCGGCCAGTAATGTTACCATGATTTATAGAATTTACCAAGAAATTATAACGTATACGTTTTTTACTCTGCGCACTATTTTCAGGAATGTTAAGTGAAGTTTTTATCTCTGCCTACTACAACTTAATTAGACAGTGGTTGGTCATACCCCCGCATGATACGAATTAAGCTTTTATCATGTTTTTGTTTGTTTCTAACTATTCAGCTGTCAGGAGGATATCAAATGAAGACAAGTGATAAATTCAAGCATACATGTAAGACAGCTCAGAATCTGACCTTCTGCAAAACAAAACACATTTTAGCAATTAATTACATATGGCCAACCTTTGTAATTCCAATTATTCAAACCAAAATTAATCAATTCTAGCGATCAAAATCATTCCGTTTAATATGTTTATTAAATATATTAGTTTATTTTTATTGGATTCTTTCCAGACTTAATTGACAGTCAAGGGAACTTGGACATCAACTGAGAGTGAGTAAAAATTGGAAAACCCTAAAACAAGTTTCTTAATTTTTTCGTTGTTATCATGGAGAAGAAAATTGATTTAGTTGTTACGAAATTGCACGCAACTTTTATTATTGCATTGATATTTATGGCACACTTACTAACCTGCATAGTATAGCGGAATCCGTACGTTTCAAAGAAGACATCTCCTGAATCACAGATACCATATGGTGGTGCTGCATGCATCACACGTAGCTGACAGAAATAAAGATAGAGGATTTCTAATGCAAACACCGACAGGAACTTAAGCATTTTTTTTTTCAATAGGAAGATTCCTTTTACTTTTTTGTTTCAAATTCATATCTCTCTATTCGTTTATTCTTACCATTCTCATTCCAATAGTTGTTTCGTATCCAGGACTGATCGTGTAACCTTCATCCTGTGGAAATGGGAAGGTTCCAGGTTCATGAATAACGAGTCGAAAACCGGACCCATCAAATAAATTACTTAACTCAAATTTCTCCACTTGTAATATCAATTGCAGGCCTAGAGAAGACATTTATATGGGTATTGATAATATATTACAAAAATCAATAATATCAATTGAATATCTAAATTACAGAAGCTTGAAAAGCAAGATATAAAAGATGTAAATTTCGTTGTTTTTAACCTGTTCGGGACCCAAAATCAATTTGCTATATCCGTAAATTCATTTATCAGAGTTCGTTAATACCATAATGATTTACAACAACGGAGTCTTAATTAAAAAAAATTTGCTAAGGACAGAAAAATTTGCTATATCTGTAAACTTGCTTTATCCGTGTTCGTATAAATTGATATTTACTGGTTATGTATGTGTGTGAGATCTGTTTAAAGCACACTTTAGTCTGACCTACAGTACCACACATTGGCCCTGCATTATGTCTCAAAACACACAAATTTCCTAGCTTTCAAACTAGATTTGATCAGAACATAATTATTCCCCAAACTTTCCGCTTTGCTAGGAACTATTGAGTTAACAGAGTATATTGGTTCAACAGTAAATGCAAAGTCAATGGAGATTCATCATTACCAAAATGGTTAGTATATTAAGTTATTGGTATCCACTTGCAATCTTCTTAAAACTGGTTTGGAAATGATGAAACTTTGTTTAATGATACCTTCAATTTCTTTGAAAAGTCAAGTTTTATTTGTTCAAAATGTGGGATAAATAGTAATCAGTAAAAGACAAAATACACAAGCATGTCAAACTCACAAGCTTTTCTTTTGCACCTTTTCTTAATAAGCTTTTCAAAATGATTTTCAAATTAATGCATATATTGTATCTAACCTTAGCTTTAAACTAGATGTGTCGTTATCGCCACGAATGCCTCCACAAGCAGGCAAAACTTCAAATGCAACATTTAGTTTTAAATTTGTATTCAAACTTAACCCGTATTTTCTGGTAAAATACCTGCATATGCAATTTCAGCCTTATACATACATCCCTACAAAAGTTAGAGAGCAGAAACTGAAAAAATTCTTCTTTTTTTCTAAATTCAAGAGGGATATCTCTGTCAAAAATCATCGGACCACGACCAAATTCAAAGAGCAAGGGTCACTTAGGGCCTTTTTTGACCCTGTGAATTTCTGGAAAAATAATACTGCTTAGTTTTAGTCGTGAAGGCATCATATATCACTTAAACCCTTGGTGACTGAATTTCTACCAATAATGACGTAATTTTCCTGCACGTCAATGCATTATGACGTCAAAAATTGCGTCATTATTCACATATACTGAATTTTTCTCCAAATACGGCCAAAATATGATGCTATATTTTTAAATTTCACATACAGCACAACCTCTTATCCAAAATGTGCAAATATATTAAGAAAGAACTGCTAATGAGGATTATAAAACATGTTTTGATTTTTTGATCGCGAGGTGTGTTCATATTTTAGTTCTGTTTTGAAGGTTCTCAAATACAGGTGTATTCTGCAAAACTCAACAACGTTGCAATTTCACACCACCTGTTTTCCAGTATATGGACTCTTTAGAGGAAACTTTGTTATACAAACTGAAAGCACTAAGTCTCTACTTTATAATGATGTTGAGAATGGGACATAAAGTGTTTGTGGATAAATTTGTCTATCAACAGGGCCATTTTATGCATAAAGTGAACCTAGCTCTTTGACCTCTATTTTCTAGTAAAATACTTGCATATGCAATTTCAACCTTATACATATATTCCTACAAAAGTTAGAGAGTGGAAACTGAAAATTTCTTATTTTTCCTAAGTTCAAGAGAGATAACTCTGACAAAAATCATCGGACCATGACCAAATTCGAACTTGACCTGCATATTTTTCTACAACGTATCCATATGTCAAATTTGAGTTGAATGTGTGCAACCTTTTCAGAGATATTGAACAGAAAGTGAATGATGACGGAATGACAGAATGACGGAAGAGGGTAACACTTTATGTCCCGGCCATTTTAAGGCGGGGCATAAAAATTATACAGCATAGATTGATAAACTCTTACCATTCATAGGACCTGTTTTTCTCGTTATGAACAAATCTCTTGATAGAGTGTAACAGTTTCCATACTCCGTAGTTTGAAACAATGTAAAGTCACTGAAGGATTAAACAGACCAAAAATAATCATTGCAATTTTATTCAATATAAATCATGAAGAGAAAAAGATATTTTAAATGAAACAATTGAATCTTAAATTGAAAACTACAACCATATACATCTGATGCATAATAACTGCCATATCTTTGATGATGCGACAATTTAAGCCAGCGAAATTCTACATGTTTTTAATTTAAAAGAGTCAATAACAAATACTGATTGATCTCAAAAATCTACAAATAATACAAATTTGTGAACAGGGCATAAAACACGGACCCCCGAAAATTTAAGAGGTGGGATCAGGTGCCTACGAAGAAAAAGCATCCTCAACCTGTCGGCCGGTCACACCTGCCGGGAGCCCTATGTATTGATCAGGTAGACGGAATATTCCGTAGTCAAATTTAGTTAAAGAACAAAGGCCTAGCAATTGGTATGAAACACGTCAGCCCATAAACGACCCAATGATAGATTATATTTGGTAACAAAGTCATTATAACGACCATAGAATTTACGAAATACTGACTTTAAACGAGATTGTTGAAATTCCTGTACCGACAACTTATCTGACAGTAGCCTGCCTCTGATTAAAAATTGATCGTACTCAGAGCATGCTCTTGAGAATTGAATAAGTTGGGAGACGTAAACAACTTATACAGGTGATAGCAAAATAGTACTACGGTACATGACAATAAAAAAAGCTGAAGTCATCTCTTTTGTCGTACAATTTAGTTGTTAGTTGGTCCTTATCGTCTATAGTCAGTAAAACATCCGAATATGAAACAGATGTGACCATTTCTGTAATGTCTTTTATTTCGAGGTCACTGGGATATATCGAGTCGACTTATGACTTATGAATGAAAGTAACTATTGTCAATTGATAACACATAATCGATATATATCTGAATGTTGAGTGAAGGCTACAATAAGTGTTTTTCTTCATCTCATATTGAAGGTTTTTTAAATAAATTTTGCTTCACAGGAATAAGAAAAATTCGATTAATCAAGGAAATTCAATTAGTGCCTATCGGAATACAACAGTCTGTTGGAAGACCTGGTCTCCAAAACAACATACATGTTGTCAATGAGGAACTCCAGCGTCGTTTTAATATCAACTTTAGAGTACGTGTCTGTAGAATCAGAGTGCTTTTTAACAAAGTTATTTTTTTGTTGACCAATCACAAGATTTGAAAATCTCCGAGTTCCATTTTTATTGAAGAAGCAATTGTCTATGATATCAAAAGCCTAGTTTTTAATTTGTCGTGAGGAATGGTTGTATCAAGTGTAGAAAGTCGTACGTTTTGATCTTACTCACTTTTTGGGGGGAAAATTGGTGATTTTGAATTTTAAAAAGTTATTTGATTTTTTGAGAATCCACTTTTGATTTACACTTCCTCTAGAATATGCTGTAGCACAGTACGTCTGAAGTTTCTCATTTACAGCAGATTATATTTTTGTGAAGACTACATAGAGGCGCTTGGTAGAGCATTTCCTGGACCCGGCAATGTTTCTTTGTAAGGATTCTATGAAGTTTAGGAATCCAGTATGGGTTGGGTGGATCGAATTCACTTTAGTTGACTAGATTGTTAAAAATATTACAGACTGATATGTAATTTTAAAGCATTTCATCCTTAGAAAATGAACTGTGAGAATAAGTTGGATTTCCAGACGTTTAATTAAACCCAAGTTAATGTTAAAAAATAAATGATCAAATCAAAATTTGGTTTTAATTTTGAGGCACCTAAAATTGAGCTCTCGGCAAAATGTTGACAAATTTAGGCAACTAACTGTTAAAAATACACACACCATAAAAATAGCCAAATATTCTTACAACAAAACTTTATGATAAACATGATGACTCTAACTTTTCTATTGTTAACTTCCCTTATTTATATACCATTATCACCTGCATATGGAGTGTATGTCTCCCAGCTGATTCGTTGCACAAGAGCATGTTCTATCTACGAACAATTTCGAAAAAGATGCAAGCTACTGAAAAGTATATTGATGAAACAAGAATATCAACATCTCCTATAAAGTCACCATTTTGCAAATTCTTTGGTCGATAAAATGACGTCAGCAAAAACGATTTATCAGTAAGTCGAATGATGACTGACTTGTTTTCATACAAATTGTTAGGCCATTATTTTTACACTGAATTGTCGACAGATTTTCCCTTTGCCCGATCATGACCAGCAGCACAAGGTGGGTGTGACCGGTCGATATGGAATGCTTACTCCTCCATGGTATCCTACCTCTGATGTTTTAGAGGTATTTGCTCTGCTCCAACTTTGTATTGTTTCAATGGACTTTTGAGCTTGATTACTGTTCGTTTTCTTCATATTTCATCTTCAAACTGCACAAGACTTCGGAAGACGCACTCAGTCAAGACTGTGACGTCACACCATTCATATGTTAATTCCTTTTCCATAACACAGTCCAAAAAAGTGCAAATATTTTTTTTAAAAGAGGTTATAATCTAAGTCTATCTTTAATGTATTTAAAGTGAGTTTCTTTTTATTTGTACTTTTGTTTGGCTTCGTTATTTGGATAACTAATAAAATTTCCGGAGGACTGTGGTTACCGAGTTTACTGTAGAAAATAAAAACAAGATCGACGTGCACAATGCAACTCTTCTCTTTGCCCAGGCATTGCTTTAAGAGCTTCCTATGGTCAGAAATATTTTTGAATGGATGGGATAATAGATAGAAATAAACTTACACTGCCGAGCATTTCTTTCCATTGAAGGAACAGGTTATTAGCATGTTTTGAATAGAATGTCCTAATTTTTTCCGAGTTTCCCTAAAGAGATTTGAAAACAAATTGTAGAATATGCGTTTGATGTCTTGCTTTACACTAAAATAGTTTAAGCAAAGTGAAATATCGTAAAATAATGCAAAAAATAATTTAAAAGCAATGTGTTAGATATTTTGTATTGACCTATCTTTACAATGCAATATTTTATGTAAAATAATGTAAAAGAAAACTTTAGAAGCAATGCTTGAGACATTTTTAATTGACCTTTATTTTTCTCCCTAAGTAAATGCTTATTATCTCTTTATTCAAAATTTCATTGAGAATAAGCAAACAAAAATAGAAAATAAGAAAAATCTGCCCAAAACTGAAACATTTGAAATCTTAAAACTGCTATTGCAAAGGTTGAAACGTCATATTTATCTTAATATACATCATATAATTAGTGGGGATGGCATCATAATGAACTATCACTTATAGGGTTATAGAATAATGGTGTCGACAAAATAACTTACTTTGATTGGTTTTGGAAGAGAAATTCAAACCTCTCAATTTTTTCGCTCCATTCATCGTTCTCCAAGGCCCTTTGACCCTCTATATAATCTTCAAATTCATTAACTGATTGGTGATAGTAATTTTCCTGATCACTTTTGAAATCATAAGGGTAGTCACAGCAAAAACTCCACCACCAATTATACCAGTAATAATTATCGTAGTCTCCAAACGGATCCGAAAAGTTCGCACTTCCATAATCATATGAAGTGGTCGAAACTGGATTCGAACTTGTTATGTCTTCATTGGGAATATTATCTAGATCTGATAATTTGTTTCCATTGGATACAGAATCTATAACATATTTAAGCTCCGATCCATCTATAAGCGATAACGATGAATTCTTCACTGGGTTCATGTTGCAGAGAGAGACAGATGGGAACCGCAGAGTATCCCTTTTCATAGATACTTTTGTTTTAATTGGATATTTGGTGTATTCGTGAATGAGTTGATAAATTTGGAACACTAAGAATCCAAATGTCACAAGAACCAGGCATGTCCAAAGACCTCGTTGATACCAGTGTTTGGATGAGAGAATTCTGGGGATTCCATGTAGACTTGTTTGAATGCCCAGCGAATGGAAAACATCCTTTACTGAATCATATTTCTCTTTTTTGGCTTTTCGTTTATCAATGATTCTCTAGAATAATAGAAATCCAAGATCAAATGAAAATTCTGATTCTGAAGTAAAGTATTTGATAACATTTAAAGCAGACTTCATAAATATTACTTGATTCCAAAATAATGCTATACATGTAATTGGTTTTAACCTGTAAGTAATAGAGTAAGTGAAAAGAATGTATTCAGTTTTTGTTACAATATGCTCTTATTGAGGTAGATCAAATAGATCAGGTAGATCCATCAATATAAATTTAGCTTAAGAAAAACGGGATTAAAGCAGATTTGAATCACTTTCATGTAAGCTTTTTATAGCCATTCCTTCATTTAAACAATATACTCTCGCTTTGAATTTTCAAACCAAAAAGGAGGTCGCAACTTTCACTTTGGTATCAACAATCTTGTCGTTTCGGGAAGAAGATAATAAGAAAAATCAAGCCATCGGCGGAAAAACTAGAAAGCTTCTGAATTTTTGCAATTTTTTGTATTTTCTCTATATAAAGTTTCATAGAATGTGTTGCCATTATAGCTCAAATATGGCCGAAATGCAAATGAGCAGAATAAATACCATTTTTCCATATGTATAGAAGTGCACAAATTGAAATCTTTTTAACCTGAAATTATTTTTGTAAAGCTATGATATTATCACATGACTTTAATATTGATTAAAATAACATAGTAAACTTCACACTGTATTGAATTTAGTTTGGTTACCTCCTTTGACAAACACGTGATAAATAAATACAATGTGTACTATATGGAGGTCACAAACAAATTTCAATATTTAGCAAACCATAATTTAAATTAAAATTTAAAGTGATAAATTGTTTCTACATATCTTGTAGTTTCTGGAAAGTGCTGCTGCTTTACACAGAATTTGCATTTTATTACTTAAAATGTAATGTAATTAAGCTCAAGTTGAAATATATCTGACCTTTACCAAGTATGTTATGTATTTATTAAGTAATGCTCTAGATTTCACGAAAGCAGCAGCACTTTTCAAGTTTAGAAGTACTAGTATTCCCTTTATGTATATTCAAAAAGTTGACAAGATCTATAAAGCGTATGCCCTTATGGAAAGGCGATTTAATGAGGCACCTCAATATTAAACATGCCAACTCATACAAAAAACGATAGGATTCATTCAATATATTCTCTCGATATTAATTAAATAGTGGCACTAAACAAACTTTTCGCATTGGTATTCATGGTCTATCTAACATTTGTTAATGATATTCTGTTTAATAATAAAATGCAATTTTCACTGTGGAAAAAATTACTTCATCCGCTTCTCATCGCACATATTACCATGATGACGTCAAGTCGACACTTACGATCAGTTACTTGTTTATATCATGCTGTGTGGGATTTAACTCGCGACAAAAATGAATGCAGGTTTAATTTTAGATGTAGTTTATTAGCCTTATATAGTTCCCTATATCAGTTAGGTCCCGCCCTTTTATGAAGCCTTAAAAGTGCTGCGAACTTTGAAAACTTTGATTAAAGTTAGTTTAAATGTACCTTATGATTTACCATTGTAAAAAAAGTTGAAATGGAATAAGAGACAAAACATTCCTTTTTTTAAAAAAATGTTTTGCCAAAAGCAGTCATTGAAATATTTTGATTTCAAATGTATCCCGTACTAAATATAAAATTTAAAATAAAATATATTGCATACAAAGTGCATTTTACAACGCAAATTGTAATAAACTGAGATTATAACATACATGAAATTCTCAATAGATTTCATTCATTTGTTGAAATTGGAATTTTCCAAAACTTAATCATACATAAGTACAGTTGAAATTATAAGATACTTCTTTCAAGGAAAGTTATTTTTAGTAATAATTTTTAAACTTTAAATAACTATCGTTGTTATACCTTCAAAAATTGTTTCCTATATAATTCTATGCTAAAAAAGTCTAACATTTCCAATATTTTACTGAGCGGTCATAAAAAAAATCGATGTTTGACCGCAGAGTGAGATATTGGACCTGTCGATGAGATGTTGGACCGCTTACATCACAGTGTGGGCGGGGTCAGCAGTCTCTTGTTTGCATTCGTTGTAGTTCGACAGAACTTTACGGAATTGACCACGTTTAAACCGCAGTGCGGGTAAACAAAATTTACATCATGTTATGCCAAAATAAAAAGTAAAAGGTATAACAAAACATTTATTTACTGTATTCTCGGGCAAAATGCGTTTTGTCGACCCCTCGAACCAAACTGTTTGCCTTCGACCTAACGGACTCAGGCAAACAGTTTTGTTCTTGGGTCCGGCAAAACGCATGTTGCCCTCGGACCCAGTCAATAAATGTATATTATCTCTTGACCTTGGAGTTTAAATTATATTTGAGAAATTTTAACTTTCGCCATAAGCTGCTATACGGGGGCATCAATAAATGCATATTATCACCTTCAAACCTTATATTTACTATTGTTTTAACTTGGACACATTTATTTATTATAGGGATCACGATGACACTATAGTGATCACTATGACACTGTAATAATAACTTTGAAAACTTTGATTTACTATAGTGAGATTACTTACAACAGTTAACCATAGTAAACTATAGTTAGCATAACTATAGTTTACTATAGTGGTTTTAGTTAAGAACGAGTTAGCAGATAATTTATATATTTTTTTAACACCCTTACAAGTATTTCACCAAACAAATATTGTAAACAAAGAAGACAAACGAATCAAAACTGTAGGCGAGTGGTTCAACAATTTTGATACTAGAGCGGCTATGAGGCTGATATCGGTCCAATATCAAATTATTGGCCCGTTTACGTCATATCTCATACATCATGAGAATTGGTGTGAAATATGAATTGTTTGATCCTCAAACAAAAACATTGTCATTTAGTCTTCGATTTTGGAAATTATTTTTGTCTTCAGATGAAGCACACCTTATGCTGGTCTCACAATCAGTCAATGAAGGCATATGAAAATCTATATATTTCCCTAATTATCAGAACCCATTGTCGTGTTACTGCAGTATTCTCATTAGAAGAAATGAAATTAATTTTTCCGTAGTCTTCAACACAAAAAAAATATATATTACCTGAATATGTTTTCTGAGCCTTTCCATTGTAAGTTTCCTCTTCAAGAATAAATATTTCAGATAAGAACTTTCTTTTCATCAACAAGTTTGGTTATTTACGAAATTATTCAAATGCATTTTTAAGATTAACTCTGAACGCTGTGTACGTATACAGCATTGTCGAGTGAATTCTACTCTTAAAAATGTGGAAAAGTTTATCTATTTAAAAATTAAAAAGAAAATGTCTATTATGTATAGATCTCTCGTCTACTTGATGTATTTCCGATAATGAAAGCATAAATTATTTAACAGACAGTTTTGAATAACCCTTTTATTGATGTTTTTTCTCGCTTTTACAAATTCATGTTCTGAAATTTTTTTATATCCTCAAATGCTCGGTAGGTTCACCGCAGCTAGTTTTCGCTAGGATTACTAAAAATGACTAAACACGTTCACAGAGAGAGGATTATTGTAATTTTATTATTTATTTGACGGTATACAAGTAAATATAAATGACGAAAATAAGGGATCAGACTCACAAGCTCAGACTGTAGGTTACGTAAGATATGAAAATGTCTGATCCCTAAAAATTGAAAAAAAAAATTCTATAAGACAATAAAATCAAACCTTTTAAGAAAAATTTAGCAAAATGATGGCAAATCAAAACAGTATGGACCACCAGGCATGGGGTATTCGTAATCGATTGTAATGTTTACTTTTTTCCAAATAATCGACAGCAATCTGTAATCGAAGAGATTTTCGATTACTTGTAATCGTAATTTAATCGATTACAGCTAAAATTTCCAATGTAATTATAATTACTTTTTCGATTACTTTCGATTACTTTATACATAAATGAATGTTATTTTGGAGAATTATTTCCAGTCAGTCATACATAAATATATAAAAAATATAATGATAACGTTCACAATAAAATTTGTATTACAGGCCTGCTGGTCTAGTATTGGATAATTCAGAAGTGTATTTCAACCATTTATTAATAAAATATACAGATTTTTTTGTGCATTTTAAATTTGACTCACTGTCCTCTTGATGTTGAAAAACTTCGTCTTGTCATAAAAAATATATTAAATAGCAAAAACGGATTTAAAGTGCTGTATTAAATATAAATAATATGTTAAATAAACTACATTATGTTCGGAAAAAAGAAGATGAAAATACTTAATATCCATTTCTGTTTTGATGTTTTTTTAGTAACTTTAAAATCTTAGAATCATTCTCATGTTGTCATTTAAAATTGTAAGGTTACTTGTTTTGTCAGTGAAAGGTTGCAAGTGTCTGTATTTCTAAAGACAGGGGATAAGAGTTACTGTATATGTTTATCTTGGCTAATTGTCTGGGACATCCTTGACATGCAGATAATGAGGTGTGAGCTTTGACCTACATATTGTATAACTTTTATAATTCATAGTTCCACTGAAGAGAAAAAATATTATTAGAACAATTAATAGCTCTCAAAACACTAAAATATTTCAACACAGAATGCAATTGTACTATTATAGTTTAACTTAAAGAAACATTTAATTTACATATGTACATGTTTATTAATAAGAGTTCTAAACTTTTTTTAGAGAAGACATAGGAATGTTTTATGTGTACTGTCAACACGCGGGCAGTTCAAATCCTCCAAAACGCAATAAAATATTAAATAACTTCTACAACCAAAGTC